AAAAGAGGAGGAAAAAAAGGGAAGATCCGCAGCTCCTCGTTGTCAGATGCATTTTGCGGTCCTCAGATGCATGCATGTTGGATTTGAATTTTTGAATCTATGAGCAGAACGATAGTCGCTGTCGCTCGACTATGGCTGGCGTTTGTTGGATGACGGGGTTGGTTGGATGGGTGTGCAGAGTGCTGCCAGATGTCAATCGGACGGCGGACAACAGCTCTACGGGCAACAACGTCTCGGTCAATGTAGTCTGCAAAAAAGCAAGCCCGTGCGTGCTGTGTTCCATGGATGAGGTGTGGAGATAGCCTTGAAACACCCACCTCCCACCTCCCGATCCCGATCGTGCCCACCTCTCCCCTGCATGCCTCCCTTGCTCACCTAACCCCTACATGCAATTTATTCAATTTAGTCCTTACGTAACTGACGTTTGATATCAAATTTGAGATGATTTTGCTCGCGCGGCCAAATAGAACAAGCACTTTTTTTTTGCGTATTTTTGTGTGTTTTTGGCTTAGGGTAACCAGAGTGGCCCGGGTCCACTTGCCCGGCCGGGCCAAAAAAAAAGGAAAAAAAGATATAAAAATAAAAATTATTTTTTTACTTAAATGTTTATTTTAAATTTGGTAAAGAATTTCGATGTGACGCGGAGGCAAAAGTTGTTCAGTTTATTTTCTGCATAACATAGTTTTTTTTTCGGATTTTTTGGATTTTTTTTTTTTTTGGCTGGGACTTTTCCTAGTCCTTGGACGGCCGGGAAGCCCGGGAAAATAGGGTGACCCGGGCGGCCCGGCTGGTAGCCTAGGTTTTTGGCAATTTTTTTAAAAATAATTTGGTGTCGATAACTTTTTTTTTTTTTTTTTTTTTTTTTTTCGATAACAAAACTCTCACTTTATTATGAAACAAACAGTCTTTGAAATGGGGTGTCGATATCTTAAGTGTTCATGCATACCCCGCCTTCAATCAAGCAACCCAAGCATCGGAGGAGGAAGGGCCGATACTGACTCCATAGTACGTAATATAACAAACGAATCCCCCTTGCTCAATTTCGTCGTGTGCGCAAACTTTTTTTTTTTTTTTTTTTTTTTTTGCGGAAACTATTTTGAAATTTATCGAAAAGTCAGATATATATGGTGGGACGGTGATTCAGGCTATTTCCAACGTAAACGAGTTTTTGGGTGCATTGCCGAATCATATTTTATTCTGGATTTTTTGACCGACTGTCGTGTCACACCTGTCGGGGCAGAGACGGGGTGCGTCTTGGTTGTGGCATTCATCATCTATGCCATCACCATTATGCGACTACGGCTGTCTGTGCTGAAGGGTGTCCAACATTACCTCATTGTACACATCCCTATCACCCAGATATACGTTGTCCTTTTTGTGCCCAAGGACGCTATCAGAACAGCATGATGCCGCACTGTGATGAACGTCCTGCTGTTTTTTTGACATGTGGATAACATCATGATGTCCTCTGTCAGCAGGACTGTTTGGATGGGATGGGATGGTTCGTGCTAGCCGTCCTGCTGAATGCTGTGCTGGCGCAACTCTCCTTGGGTATCCTTGTGAACATCCACATCATCCTCACCGTAGCTGTCCTATCTGCCGAGGTGGGAACAGTTAAAGAAAAGAAGAAAAAAAGAAAAAAAGAAAAAAAGAAAAAAAAAGAAAACAAGATAGAAAAGGAAAAAAAAGAGAAAAAAAGAAAATAAGAAAATAAGAAAATAAGGAAAAAGAAAAAATATGTTGATCTGTGGGATGTGTTATTTGCTTTGTGACAATTGGATTATCTGTGGGATGTGTCATTTGCTTTGTTTGACTGATACGCTTTCTTTCCCTGTCAGCTTTGGTTTCCTCCTCCTCCTTTTCTTTAGTACCTCTTTTTTGCCTTTTGGCTGCGTGCAAGTGGGTCCTTGTGACACACCGGGATGGGCAGGCAGCGCTCAACCTGTCATCCACGTGGCTGTCCTTGTACGTAAGAGGTGATGAACAGGTCGGGTTTTCGTTCCTTCCTCCTTTTCGATTCCTTGTTTTGCCTTTTTCCGCCTTTGCGCTCCGATTCACACTGTGACTATATACAACCCGTCCTCCCCATACCCACCACCTTGCATGTGACTTTTCGATCAATCAATTTCTCTTTTTAAAAAACCACGTGATCAGTTTCTTTTTGTATGTTTTTTCTCCTTGCTGATTATTCATCGCCTGCTCGCAATGCTCCCTCATCTGGACGGGATGAGGTGTGCGGTGCATGCCTTCCACTTTGTGCACGTGATTTGTGGCAACAACAGTACACATATACTTTGCCAAATCTTAATGTATTATGGCTACCCCTACCTAGTCTTGTTTCTCTCTCTCTCTCTCTCTCTCTCTCTCTCTCTCTCTGTCTGTGTGTGCCTACGGTTTACCGGGCAGCTCTGCGGCCTTGTACGCAAGAGGTGCTGAACAGGGGGAGTTGTAAGGAAGAAGATTAAAAATGAATTGAGTTTTTCTTGTTTCTGTTTTTCGCTTTGGCGCTCTGATATCATGTGACAATATATATATACATCGATAAAACAGTTTGTTACAGCATTATATTTCTCATTTGTTGTCCTCTTCTCCCTCTCTGGCGACAGATTATATTTCAAGCATGGTATCACCTTTCTTTTTTTTTTTTTCTTTTTTTTTTTTTTTGGATTATCTGATGACCATGCGAAAAAAAAAGAAAAGAAATGGCGACGGCCTTGAGGTATCATGATTGAAATGACCGCCCCCACCTGGGTAATAATTCAGAGTCGTTGTTATTCATCGGATTCGGTAAGGCTTGGAACCTAGGCCTGCTTATCGAAAAGACAAGTGCAATTAAGAAAAAAAAGAAAGAAAGGAGAAGAAAGGCATGGGTTTATCGACAAGTGCATGGGTGGTGCCATTCAAACCATATGATGGGCTGTGTCGTTATGTACCACAGCTTTTGTTCTTTGGCACATCTGTTGAAATTGGAAACGGTACTGAGAATTAGATGAGCATGACCCCGGCGCGAGGATGAGGATGAGGATGAGGATGGGGATGAGGATGAGGATGACACACACAAAAGCCAGAAACCAAACGCAACTTTTTAAAAGCCTTCGTGGGAGCAAGAGGGCAATGCTAGCTGAGTTCGCGTTTTGAATAAAGTGTATTGGCAATGTATATGTTTGGTTTAGGGTTTTCGTCCACAGTCGCAGTCGTTTCTCCAAGAAACATCACTCTGCGAATTGTTCTCATCTTTTTTTTTTTTTTTTTTTTTTTTTTTTTTTTTTTTTTTTTTTT